TTGAAATTGTGAATGCTTTGAGCTTGTTCGATTCTTTTGATGCTCCATTCATAAAGGTCTTTGACCCCGGAGGATGTCCGTTCAAAGCGCATGATTCCTCGCTTTTCCTAGATTTCCAACTTGAGGACAAGTTGGTTTTCGAGGCGGGGAGAGTGTTACGGGACTATTATTATTATTATTATTATTATTATTATTATTATTATTATGGTAAGGAATTATTTATAGTTAGTTAACTATTATTAGGGAATATTATATTTGTTAGGTAATTAATTAGTTTCCTAGTTTATTTAGTTGCCTTTTGTGATTAGGATTCCTTCGATATGCTAGCTATAAATGTATCGCTATCATGGAGTTAGTATTCAATCAATAAGAAATCATTTTCCCTAAACCCTGATCTCTTCCTCTTCCCTCTCGTTCTTCTATTCCGCCGAACAAAGTGTCGTGCGATTCTCTCTTCTCTTCCTTTTCCCCAATTCTATAGCTCGAAGGTGCTCAACCTTCCCTATCCCGATACAATACCGTATCAGCATGGATCAAACATGTGACTTCAAATGGTCATTTTGACCCTCTCCGAACTAAGTTATCCTCTCTTGTTGTTTACATCTCAAAGAATTAAAAGTATAACTTTGGTCAATGGATAATTGTAACTAAAAGTGTTTGTACATCAAATTTTTTTCTTTTCTAGTGTGAGAAAAGAAGAATACTCTGATCAATTGATAATTGTAGTTTCATGCATTTTTACTTCAATTTTTTAACTTTTGAATGGATCAAATATTCATTTTGATGCTCTCCAAACTAAGTTATCTCCGCTCGTCTTTTTAAGGGTGAGAAAAGAAATTGCTCTAATCAATTGATAGTTGTAGTTTCATGCATTTGTACTTCAATTTTTTAACTTTTGAATGGAGAAAATAAAAGCATTAAAGTGCGTGGATCAAACATGCGACCTTTAGAGCTACAATTTGACGCTCTCCCAATTAAGCTATCCGTGTTTGTAGTTTACACCTTAATGAATTCAACTCTAATCAATTGATAATTGTAATTCAATGTGTTTGTACATCAAATTGCTTTCTTTTAAAGGGTGTGAAAGGAAATACGGTGAGCGTGGATCGAACATGTTACCTTCAAATGTTCATTTTGACCGTTTCTGAACTAAGTTATCCCCACTTGTTGTTTACTCTTAATGAATTAGAATGTAATTCTAATCCATCGACAATAGTAATTTTATGTGTGTGGACTTCCAATGAATTTTGGTCAATTGATAATTATAGTTTCATGTGTTTGTACTTCAATTTTTTTAACTTTTCAATGGAGCAAATAAACACACAAAAATGCAGGGAGCACGTATCAAACACGTGACCTTCATATCATCAGTCTTCCACTCACCCATCTTAGTTATTCCCACTAGTTTAAATTTCAATCAAGTTGAAATACAAGTTAGAGGAATTGACAAATGTAATTTACGATATTTATACGAGATAAGTACCAAAATAAGAGTAAAACATTGACTATATACCAAAATAGGAGTAGAAACATAAAATCCCTAAAATAGGAGTCGCTAACTCACCTTCAATAATCATGAAACTGACCCTCCAATGTTTCAAACGATCAACTGGGGTGCTCTTGGTGCGGAAAATATCAAAAGGACCACATTTCTCATCCTCGTCAAAATAGCCCCTGTGACCTTCTAAGTCCTCATTCCTATGGAGGCTATAGGGTGAGCCTTTAAATGTACTGTCGCATGAGAGATGAGGCCACTAAATTGACTCCCACTGCTTCTTTTCCACTACTTAGTTGATCTCAGAATTGTTGGAACACAAAATAACAGAGCTAAGGGAAGAGATCATAATCTTCTATAGTAGATATATAGCTACTTTCTAGGGTTTGTCCAGAGAAGGGGCAAACCACCCACTAATTACGTACACATCTATGTGCACTTCATTGTATCATTTCGACCATGGCCATTGACCCTATCCTTTATTTTTCACCGACATCGACACCATCATACTCTGCACAGTCTCCGTCGCAGTGCCACATTAATAGCAACGAAGGTATAATACCAAACATGGCCACATATAATGTCACATATGGTAATGCATAATGCCACATATTACCATATAATGTCACATATGGTAGTGCACGATGCCACAGATTACCAAATATAATGTCACTGTTGCTAATTCAAAATGTCAAACAAATGTAGATTACCAAATATAATGTCACTGTTGCTAATTCAAAACGGCAAACAAATGAATAATGTCAAACTCAACCACTGACCTGCAATAGTACAACCGGTGACCATCGTCCATCTCACGGCTATCGTTATGGCATCCGGATGACCAACCATCATTTACAACGGTTGGCCCTTATTTTCCGACATGGAATCGCCATCCGAAAGCCTCCAAACAAAGCTCAAGGTAAATAATAAAAGTTCAATTAAATATCAATAGGGAACCCAAACATTTCTGAAATTTGTGATTTGAGAAAGGGAGATAGGGCGACATGGCAGATCTGTGTGCGGGGGGCACTACGAGCTGAGATGTTGTAGGCGGCGGCGCTGGCTATGGTGCTGCATGAGCCAACAATTGTTATGAATCGAGGGAAGAGAATAAGCAGAAGGGGGATCAGCGGAAGGGATGAAGGGAATCGGCAGATTTTTTCCCTTTCTCAATTGAGTCGTGCGCGTGGGAATCAGCACATTTTTTTCCTATTTAATTACTCCTATTTAGAGGAGTTTAAGTTTGAACTCCTACTTTAAGGATATAACATATGTTTTACTCCTATTTGGGGGGTTTTCTTTATTTATACTTCAAAATTTTAACTTTATTAAATTGTGAATAAACGTAACAAACCTAAAAATGCGTTGAGTATGGATCGAATATGTGACCTTTAAATATTCAGTCACACACTCACATCAACTGAGTTATACGATTATATCTCGTTATTGTTTAAATCTCAATGAATTTAAAGTAAAACTCTGATCCATCCATAATTTTAATGTCATGTGTTTGTACTTCAAATGAAATTTCTAATTTTTCAATGGAACTAATAAAAAACAAAAAATGCGATGATTTGATGATCATTCCATAATTGTAATTTCATGTGTTTGTACTTTAAATTTTTATTTTTACAATGTAGTGAATAAAAGCATAAGAAATGTGGTGGTGAGCGTGTATCGAACACGGGACCTTTAGATATTCAGTTAGATGTTATCCCAATTGAGCTATCTCCGTTTGTCTTTTACATCTCGATGATTTTAAAATAAAACTCGGACCAATTGATAATTGTAATTTATAATGTTTATGTATTTCAAATTTTAACTTTTCAATGGAATGAATAACAATACAAAAATTACAATGACTGTGGAATGAACACACGACCTTTAAATCTTTAGCCTAACACTATCCAAGTTGATCTATCATCACTTGTTTACATCTCAATGAGTTTAAAATATGACTCCGATTAACGAAAAATTGCAATATAATGTGTTTGTATTAAAATTATAATTTTTCAATAGTGTGAATGAAAGCACAAAGAATACAGTGAGTGTCGAACCAACACGTGAACTTCAAATATTTAGTCTGATGCTCTCCCAATTGAGTTGTGCCTGCTTTTTGTTTACAACTCGGTGAATTCAAAATATAAATCCAATCTATCGATGATTGTAGTTTCATGTGATTACATTTCAAAATTTTAACTGTTAAATATATTTACGAAGTAATATATATTTATGTTAAGTATATTTACTGTTTTTATTATCTTATCATTGTAATATTGGTAGTTAGCTTTTGTATAGGTTTCCTATCTTGTACTCCTACCATTATTAGGAAACTAGCCTTGTATATAAATACGGTTGTACTCCTACATGTTTAATCAATCGAAAATATTCATTCTTCATTAGCTTTTGATGAAGTAAATAAAAGAACAAAAAAATCAGTAAGGATGTTTTAAACACACAACCTTCAGATCTTCAACCAAAAGCTTTTCCAACTTAGCTATATGCACTTGTTATTTACAGCTTGATTATATTAAAATATAGTTCTGATCAAATTTTATGTAGTTTACCACTAACGAAAAAGTAATGTTCGGTCTCTTTCGATAAGTGACATTGACAATATGCAAGAGGGATGAGACATACTCCCTCCGTCCCACTGTCTTTGTCCACTTACCTTTTGGCACACCATCCAATGCACTTCTTTAATCCATTTTATCTTGTAATTTGTATATTAAAAAATTATAGAAATTATATATTAATAATCTATATGTTAAGACAAATCAAACAAGATTACACATGACTATATTTAGGCTTACACATTGAGAGAATTTGATGAGTCAAAGTGCTTAGATGAACAGTTCCAAAAGTCAAAAGTGGACAAAGACAGTGGGACGGAGGTAGTATTTATTTTTATATAAAACATACCATATATATTAATAAAAATGTTAAAAAAAATTATATTGTATATAAGCATATTTGAAACAAGAGGTTAAAACTAATTATTAAGGTATGAACCACAAATATATTTCATATACTCTATTGAGTTGGTGCGATAAAAAACTAAGTTGAAATTTTGTTTGTGCGACGAATTATGTTCGAAAGATATTTTGAACTTATTTTTTGTGAAACCAAAATACTTATGGAGTTATGGATATGAAAATAACCTTTCAAATAAAATGTGACTCATTTTTTAATTGACCCAAAAGATTAAATGTGTAAATAGTAAAAGAAATAAGTAAAAATAATGCATTTGTTGATGGGGTGGGGAAGGAATAAATGAGTTTGATGTCCAAGCGGAAGAAGTAAATATAGTTGTTCGGATAAAGTAAAAATTAATTTTATTGAATTGCGGTGAGCGTGGATCGAACACGCGACCTTCAGATCTTCAGTCTGACGCTCTCCCAACTGAGCTATCCCCGCTGTTATGCTAAGATGGGCTGCATCAACGATATGTTAGTAAACACTTTACTGTGGATTGTGTATAAACTTGCGGGTAAATGGATAATCGTTCTGGTCTGAAATCTGCCATTTCTGTACGGATTTTTCGGGTAAGGACAGAGAGAAAGAAATGGAGAAGAATGGTTACAGGAGGACTCGATCGAAGGCCGAACTGGCCGGAACGCTGCGCAAGTCATGGTACCACTTGAGGCTGTCGGTGCGGCACCCGGCTAGGGTTCCGACGTGGGACGCCGTCGTGCTCACCGCCGCCAGCCCCGAACAAGCCCAGCTGTATGAGTGGCAGCTCAACCGGGCCAAGCGCATGGGTCGCATTGCCCAATCCACCGTCACCCTTGCCGTCCCCGACCCACACGGCCGGAGAATTGGCTCCGGCGCCGCCACTCTCCACGCCATTTTGGCTCTGGCCAATCACTATCGCCGGGTAATCCCCACATAATGTTCTCTTTTTTTTCTTCACTGAAGCTGAAAATTGAATTGATTCATTGTTGTTGAATCAACTTAGAACCTTTTCTTGCATCTATTGAAGTGTTTTCCAGAAGATGAGAGGTTTAAATTTATTGTATCCTATGCCAGTAAATGAAACCTTGAATTAGTCTCATAGTATTGCTTTTGGTGTGGAGCAGGAAGCAGAAGCAAGCCACATGAAATCTGAAGATCATCCACATTCTTTAGTTGACTTGATCTCCAAGAGACATATCTTGCTACTTCATGCTGGAGGTGACTCTAAGAGGGTCCCGTGGGCGAATCCCATGGGAAAAGTGTTTCTACCCCTGCCGTATTTGGCATCGGATGACAGTGACGGCCCAGTCCCCTTGCTTTTTGATCACATACTCGCAATCGCTTCTTGTGCTCGACAAGCTTTCAAAAATGAAGGTTAACTTTCTGCCACCATTGAGTGTTGTAGGGTTTGTGCATTAGAAAAACAATTAAGGGCTTGTTCTCTACATCTGATCTGATTGGTTTTGATCTGAACCAAATGTAGTTATATTTAAAGCTGTTCTTGATATGGTTTGATCTGATCTGATTTCAATGAGAATAAGTTGAAGAGAACAAGCTCTAAGTCATCCCACACCGAAGGAATGTAAACTGATATATAAGGCGTGTCTTCTTTATCAAGATTTTGTTGACAGATTATTTGCAATACTGAGACATAAAAAATATGAGGTCATATATGTTCAAGTGTTGAGAAGATCTCACATCTATATGCAGGTGGTATACTTACAATGACTGGTGATGTTCTTCCTTGTTTTGATGCATCCAGTTTGGTACTTCCTGAGGATGCACCCTGCATCGTCACCGTTCCTATCACCTTAGACATTGCTTCCAACCATGGAGTTATTGTGGCATCACGGACTGGGATTTCCGATGAGAGTGGGTTCGTTGACTTGGTGGAGAATCTGCTTCAGAAACCATGTGTAGAAGAGTTGATCAAACATGAGGCTGTTCTTGATGATGGAAGGACATTGCTTGACACAGGAATAATTGCAGTTAGAGGTAAAGCGTGGGTGGATTTTGTAACCCTTGCCTGTTCCTGTGAACCAATGATTTCTGAACTTATGGAAAGAAAAAAAGAGGCAAGTGGTCAAAAAATTCCATGAGAAAAACCTTTCTAGCTCTTGATGTCTTAGGATTTCTATATAAATATGTATCCGCGTACCTGTCTATAAAAAAATTCCATGAGAAAAACCATTCTACCCTTTCCTTTTGAAGCATGTTTCTGGACTCACTATTACTATTTTCATTTCTCCAAGGCACAGACTTTCCCGCTTATATATCATTTACAACTCGGCTTCTTGTGCAGATGAGCTTGTATGAAGACCTTGTAGCAGCTTGGGTACCCGCAAAGCATGATTGGTTACGAAGACGGGCTTTGGGTAGTGAGCTTGTCAACAGATTGGGGAAACACAAGATCTACAGCTATTGTGCTTGTACGTTCAACATAGTTTGATCATGTGATGTTGTTAGTACTCTCATATGTGGCTTTCACATTTTCTCTTACCTTTCTCAGTGTGCTGGTGACTTAACTGCATTTAGACTCCGTTTGTATATGAGGAATATTTCCAAGAAAATGTTCAGTGATTTTCTAGTGAAGAAAATGATTTTCTCAATTCTCTACACGCTTTTGGAAAATGGCTCCCCCTTTTGAAAATAACGAGTTATTTTCCGTGAATAGTTTTGTTTTGATATTATCGTGGATCAAACATTATATTTCACAGATAACAACTTAATTTCTAGTAAAATATTTTCTCAAAATATATTTTTCATGAGTTACTTTTTGGGAACAGACTGAGCCATAAAGCCTGATATCTTCATCATATTCTTATTACTTATTACTTATTCTTATTTGAATAACAGATCCGATAAGAAAACAACTTTAAATACAACTAGAATCAAATCAGGCGAGACCTTAATAAAACCAGATCTGATCCAATCAAATCATATGAGGAAACAGGCTCATAGAGTCCATTTGGTGAGCCCTAAAATGGACGCGGTTGATTAATATACTGAAGTTTTTAAACATGTGGATGAAATGATTGAAAAGAGACAAATATGTTGATGAAGGTATAATTGTCATTTTCTAAAAATGAAGTTAGCATTGTCATTTTCTTTATTTTCATCCATTTCGGCTAAATATGTTAATCCTGCACTACCATCTCGCGAGGCTTAAAATGGCTTAGGTGTAAATAAGTGCGTGGTTGGTGAAAAATGTGTTTGATATGGCTGGTAATCACTAAGTTGAAAAGAAGACTTACTAAATGGCTCTTTTTTCTGGTCCATGTCTGTGTTTCTTTGTGTATCAAACATCATTGCAGTTCTTTTATCCTTGTTTTTTCTATGCAGATGATCTTTTATTTTTGCACTTTGGAACCTCAAGTGAAGTATTGGACCATATGAGTGAAACGGGTTCCAAACTTGTTGGTCGAAGGCACCTTTGTTCCGTTCCAGCAACCACTGCCTCCGACATTGCTTCCTCGGCTATCATTCTGTCAAGTAAAATAGAACCGCGAGTCTCCATCGGAGAGGATTCCCTCATATACAATTCCTCCATCTCAAGCGGCATTCAGATTGGTTCTCAGTCCATAGTTGTGGGTGTCAATGTGCAAGTGGCTGACAATAACACGGCACAAGAACCGTTCACCTTTATGCTTCCTGACCGTCACTGCCTCTGGGAGGTTCCTCTGGTAGGGCGTGAAGAAAGGGTGATTGTGTACTGTGGGCTCCATGATAACCCAAAGATTCTGCTCTCTGAGGGTGGGACCTTCTGTGGGAAACCATGGAGGAATATTTTAGATGACTTAGGCATTCAAGAGACGGACCTATGGAGGGGCTCAGAAGAATCTTGCGATAGATGCCTTTGGAATGCCAAATTGTTCCCTGTTCTTCCATACTTTGATATGCTCAGTCTGGCGAAATGGCTAATGGGATTGGGGAACTTTAAGAATGAAGCCTCCCTTTATTATTCTTTGTGGAAGAAGTCACACCGATTGAGTTTAGAAGAGTTGCACAGGTCAATAGATTTTACACACATGTGTTTGGATTCGAGTAATCATCAAGCAGATATAGCTGCTGGGATTGTTAAAGCTTGCATTAATTTTGGGATGGTTGGGAGGAACTTATTTCAGCTGTGTGATGAAATAGTACAGAAGGGGGAAGCTTCTGGAGCTGAAGTTTGCGAGGGATTTCTTGCACTATGTCCTAAACTTTACACTCAACATTCCCAACTCCTCCTACCCAGAAGCAGGGCATATCAAGTGAATGTTGATCTTCTAAGAGCATGTAATAAAGAAGAAATGGCACTTGAACTGGAGCAGAAAGTATGGGCTGCGGTCTCTGACGAAACAGCTTCTTCTGTGAGATATGGATTTAAAGGTAGGTACTCACAAAGTACTTCTCAACCTTCTTAAATACTCCCTCCGTCCCCAAAAGAGTCGCATGTTGTTGTTTACGAGGTTTGACTGAAGTTAATTTCAATTCAATTTATTTGAAAATTGGTAAATAATTTAAAAATAAAATTTATATATTTAAAAACTACATCAAAAGTTCTACAAAATAATATGTGACAAGACTAATATTTTCTCAAATGGGTTGCGAAAATGGATCAAGAACGTGGGGAGTATCAAATCATTGTTGTGAACTGTGATTAGGATTGCCAACTTTTGGATGCTGTTGGGTGGTTTTCATCATTATCAGCACTATAAATCCCTACTATGTTGGAGTGGGGGACATGAAATTTATAGTACCAATTGATTGCCTAAATTAATTTACACTGAATTCTTGCAAATTGAATCTTGTCTATTGCTAATTGAAGTGCATTTTTCGGTATAGAATCAAGGAACATATCAGAATCCAGACTGCAGTATAATCCTACTGCTTATATTGATGGCGGTGATGTGAATGACAATCTGAAGGGTTCTTTCTGCTCCAAGAAAGTGAAGATCGAACTACCGGTGCGTGTGGATTTTGTTGGAGGTTGGAGCGATACCCCTCCCTGGAGTCTAGAACGTGCCGGGTATGTCTTGAATATGGCAATAACTTTAGGAAGCTCACTTCCCATTGGTACAACCATTGAGACACAAATGGAAACCGGCGTTCTCATCAGGGACGATATGGGAAACCGCGTACTCATTAGTGATCTCTCTACCATTTCACCTCCATTCGAAAGCAGCGACCCGTTTCGTCTAGTGAAATGTGCATTGTTGGTCACCAATGTTGTTGACCACAAGTGCCTCGAGTCAACGGGCTTGAAAATCAGCACGTGGGCTCACGTCCCACGTGGTAGTGGCTTGGGGACTTCCAGCATCTTAGCAGCGGCTGTTGTGAAGGCGATTTTGCAATTGAGTGGTGGAGATGATAGTAACGAAAACGTGACGAGGCTCGTTTTGGTATTGGAACAGATCATGGGGACAGGAGGTGGGTGGCAGGACCAGATTGGAGGGCTATACCCTGGGATAAAATTCACTACTAGCTATCCTGGAGTCCCGTTGCGTCTTCAAGTCATCCCTCTTTTGAGTTCCCCACAGCTAATCAAAGAGTTGCAAGAACGGCTCCTTGTCGTGTTCACTGGACAAGTAAGCAAACACAAGTCTCTCCAAGGGTTAGTTTTGGATGGAGTGTTCTAAAGAAATACTCGCTCTGTCCCACAAAACATTTCCACTTGGCCTGAATGGACATAAATGCCCTTACTTTTCTTAAATCTAACCTAACCTACCCCAACTACCTTCTACGCCCCCTACCCATTCTGATATTTCCCAAACCCTACTCGTTTCAACTGTTGTCGTTTCACCTTGGTCAAACTTCTACAACTTCTCACCCCAAAAGTTAAAACGGGAAATGTTTTGCGGGACAGAGAAAGTACTATATAGTGTTTCTATAAACAAATGAAGGGCAGTTGAATTGTTATATGCTCACATATTATCTTCTTTTCTTTTTCCCAATCATATATCGAGATTATAGACTCGGCCTTCCTCTAATCGAGTGTTAAGGGGCTGTTTTCTCCAACACTTTTTGTACTTTCTTTTCTCTACAGGTCCGACTTGCTCACCGAGTCCTACAAAAAGTGGTCACCCGGTACCTCCAGAGGGACAATCTTCTTATATCAAGCATCAAGCGGCTGACAGAACTGGCAAAGGCAGGAAGGGAGGCTCTGATGAACTGCAACATCGACGAGCTAGGGGACATAATGGCAGAGGCTTGGAGGCTGCATCAAGAGCTTGATCCCTTCTGCAGTAATGAGTATGTTGACCGGCTTTTCGCCTTCTGTGACCCCTTCTGCCGTGGCTACAAGCTCGTGGGTGCTGGTGGTGGTGGTTTCGCTTTGTTGCTGGCGAAAACCAGTGAATCCGCCGAGGAGTTGAGGCGCTCACTCGTGTCGGTTTCTGGTTTTGATGCTCAGATTTACAGTTGGGAAATCTGCTTGCAATGCTAGTTCGGCATGGTTCATGTGACATTCATAGCATGACTCGAGCCTCATACGGTGCTCCGTTTGAAAAATTGATGGTTTCTTCCTCCCATACCCCCCACACCCCAACCCCTATGGCCTACAGTAGTTACTGTAGCCAACCGGCGAAGGGGAGGGGGCCTGGGGGTGCAGCAGGAGGGTAGGAACCATCAATTTTTCGAATGAGGCACCGTAGGAAGCTCGGGTCATGCTTTGATATTGCATTCAATGTCATTTGAACCGCACCGATGCTAGTTATGCCTAGTTTTGGTTTGTAGGTATGCTGGTTTAACTCTTTATGACACTATGGTGTGATTGGTGTCATAATATGACACCCATTGTTCATTTGGGAGTCCTACGATGCTCTGTTCGATCTTGAAAAGGGTTCCTCTCTTTGCCCTCACCATGGGAAGCACCAAAAATTCTCTTCTCTTATGCTAATGTTATTTGTAATGAGTAATCAAACTTGTGCCACTATACAAATTTGTCTTATTTACTCAGACAAGTTGAGTTTAAGATGGTTTAGAAGTTTTCATCTTGTATAGAAAAAAAAGGGAACCAATTTTGGTTTTCAATTTATGTTGATAGGATTCAAAATTATTTTGGTTTACTAATAGCACAATGTGTAGTTATGTGTTCTTTAAATCAATGTGCAGTAGATGGAAGATATTGAGGATATAAAGTCTCACATTGAACACTCAATTTGGTTCTAATAAATTGTATCTTGAATTGGATCATTCTATTTTCAAAATAGTGAGATGGGTTCTCAAAAAATAAGATTTAAAAATTCTACAAGTCAAACTGTTATTACTAAAGTGTTTACTTAATTGCACATTTTTGTTTGTTACTTTATAATTTTTCACCATTTTTAATTTTTAATTATTTGGAGCGACTTTAAGTTTAACTAACATAATATTAGATTTTTAAATTCCTTTACAACAACTCAATTTATATTTTTTATAAAAAAAAATTTATTTTATTTTTAAAAGAATTTTTGTGTTTTGTACGGAGTATTTTTTAACGTTTAAAATATTACTATATAATTTGGCATTAGTATGACATGTGATGATGTAAATTAGTTGGATTGAGGTTATTGCACTTGACCGAGTCGAGGACAAGAAGCTAGGTCACAGAAGTAACGTTTAAAACACTACTATGTAATTTGGCATTAGTATAACATAACAAAAGGATGTTTATGTAGTACTATCAAATCTTTTAAGCACTTTCCATCTCATGTTAACACGGAGTACTGCAGGGGAGAGATGAGAGAGAGAGAGCACATTCTCTCGATCTTGTCTATAATGGCTCATCACCCGAATTATAAGCTAACACTCCACTCATGCTCTTAGCTCCGCTGTAGACGAATGTGGATCGAATGGTCACCACCCGGAACATAAGGCACAGATCGGGTTGTGTCAATGTGTCAGAATGCAAACCAGATGGCCCATCACTTGTGCAATATGCTATAGTCCGGGCTATGTAAATATGTTATTGGATGATCATTCTGCGAAACATTGTTCTTGTGTGTGTTTGTGTGTTATTAGTCCAACCGACTTTTCTAAAAGAATGTCCCACGGCACCCTATTATCGGATAAGCAAGCCATAACGGCTTCGTTTGGCATCATCGTCATATGTTAGCGTTAGCGTTTTGGAGCGATTAATTAAAGACATTATTCTCAAACAAGATCAGCATTAGCATTTTCAGAATTAATCACATTAAAATTTTATGCAAAATGCTAACGTAATAAAAAAATATTGTTCCAACCATTATTCTCGATCAACTTCTTCTTATACTTTGTACCCATCAACGAGGTACATTTCACTTTTAAATTGTATCAAATGACTCTATTAAATATTGAGGACTGGACTACCCATTAAGAGCATGGGCAGCGGTGTGTCATTTAGCCACCACGCCCTGCCACGTCACCACTTGTCATGCATTCTTTCTCCGATCCACCTCATGTTGCGAGGCATTTCCAATGCGCTCTAAAAGTCCACACTTCTTTTCGTCGTCGTCTTCTTCTTCTTTTTTAACGAGAAAAAAGTATTTTTGTGAGAAATTAAAAGTATTTTTTGATAAAAAATAGCAAAAAACATTTTAGTCATTAGAATACATAAAATACATCCGTCCATGAACATTTATCCAGTTTTGATTTTTTAGGATCAATCTTTTTCAACTTTTGACCTATAATTAAATAAAATTTTATAAAGTACATATTGATTAAATAAAATAATATTTAAAAATATTATATAAAAAATCTAATAATATGATTTTGTATCAATATCTAATATCAATTTTATTTAATTAGTGCTCAAAATTCATCAATTTTGACTAAAAAAGTAAAAACTGGACAAATATTTAAGAACGAAGATAGTAAAAAGACAAAAAAGTAACAAAAGTAATGTCTCGCCACTGCAAAGTTTGTCATTCCACTCGTGTGCCACACACTGACTAAGGGCATGTTTGAGAATAGCTTTAGAAGTTAGCGTTAGCATTTTGAAAGGGCTATCAACGGGCAGCGTTTAACGTTTTGAAATTTAATATGCACCGTTGAGATTTCATCCAAAAGTAATCTAAAACATTATTCCCAAACTTAAATTACTCCCTCCGTCCTAAAACTTTCTTTCCACTTCCCCTTTTTCTCCGTCTTAAAACTACTTTCCCATTAGAAAAAAAAGATAACAAATGACATTAATACCCTCATGTATTTACACCAATTATCTTCTAACTCTATATTTTGAATGATTGCAAAAAAAATTTCAAAAAATCTTTTTTAGGGAGGGTAAAATTTGAAGTCAAAGCCAAAAATTAAAAATGGGAAAAAGTCAAACTGGGAAAAAAAAATTAGGACAGAGGGAGTATTTTTTATTCATTAGAGTTGGCATCTCCGTTTTTGTTTCACTTGAAATCGAGTTAACTTACAAGAATTTATATACTGTGTACATTTCCCAGTCATTCTGTTGAGCCGAGAAAGAACGATGGCGAATTTGTACGTAAAGGCGGAGCCTCCGGCGGATCTGAACCGGAACACAGAGTGGTTCACGTACCCGGGGGTTTGGACGACCTACATATTCATCGTCTTCTTCGCGTGGCTCGTCGTTCTCTCCGTCTTCGGCTGCTCTCCCGGCATGGCTTGGACCATAGTCAATCTCTCCCACTTCGCCGTACGTACCGCCAAGCTCATAGATCCCGTTCATGCTCTTCTATATATACAATTTCTATCTCATTATTATGCGCTTTTTTGTTATTCCATTGGAGTTTTCTCGATTAGCTTTGATTCGGAGTAGTATAGTTATGCTTTGCTTGAAAATCAACGCCTGTTAGGGTTCTTCACATTAGCATTTAAACAAATGCAGTGGGGGGATAAGAAATTTGAGGGTGTGATTAATGTTTTGTGTCATGTGGATTGATTGTTTCTCATTTGGATTAAGTTTTTCTGATAAATGTAAAAGATGCATAGAAACTGTTGAATTGGAATGGTGCTGTTTTATCCCAAGTTTTCATGTGATCTATCCTATGTCTTTGTAGGAGTAGGAGGATTTATACTTCATTCTGTGCTTAATCATTTATGGGCTTTAGAGTTATCTAACTAATTTGCTTGCCTGTGTAGATCACTTATCACTTCTTTCACTGGAAGAAGGGAACCCCATTTGCTGATGACCAGGGAATGTACAATGGGTTGACTTGGTGGGAGCAAATAGACAATGGCAAGCAAGCTACCCACAATAGAAAGTTTCTAACTGTTGTGCCTGTGGTTCTGTAAGTTCTCTCTAGTTCATTCTTGGGCATGATCAGTTTGGCACATGATTCCTCTAATGATATGCACAGTTTTCTAGTGATTGAATTTTGGCACTTTGTTTTCTCCATCTGACAGCCATCATACTCCCTCCCCACAAAAAAAAATCTCTTCAAGGGAAAAGTATACATTTGATTAATTTTGTTTTTATAATTTTCGGGCTCCTCATCTGATTTATTTACAAAGAGAATGTTTGTCAGTCGTAAATGTGGTCACTATGGGTAAATTTGTTGATATTGTGGCTTATATACAAAAAGAGAAAATGCTGGAAAGCTATGTTATTTAATTCATTCAGAGAGCACATGCACATGCATGTAAGGAGTTATAAGTATATCGAGCTATATACTTGAGCTAGCATTAGGCTTAAGCTTAGTTATGTCTCACAATATCTAGCATCCCCACCCCCAAATTGGAGCACGTATATAAATATATTTATCATAGCCAACTTTGCTAAAGAGTATCAAACTGCTACCGCCTTAGTGAGCAAACCTCCTAGCTGTTCTTAGTTCTTCCTTCTTCACATTATGCTTCTTTGAATCTTTTCTTTTACAAAATGACAGTGGGCCTCAATATGCATTGTTCTTGCATTAAAAATTAGATTAGATGCAATTTATATACTTTATTGTAGCTTGATTGCTAAGAAGCATTGACGTTTCCAATATAGTATCCTGATTCCTGCATGAGTCGATATTTCTGAATTATGTCGAGTGTTGATTGTGTTGTAGTATGATATTCTGTGTCTTCACATGACTGAGTTGCTACAACTGTTTCTTACCTTTCCATTTCACAAAATTTCCACCCGCAGAACACAATAACCTGTCATGGATCAGTGGATCACCAATCATTTTTGGATCATGATGTGTCCATCAATTTGATGGACAACACCGTATCCCAGTGCTCCTTAACACAAAATATCTTCAATAATCATTCGTAGGAGTTTCCATATATTGAATTACCACACTGAATTACCAGGTAGGAAATGTCAGTGTGAGATATTTCAACTTTCCTATAAATCGTCCTTTATCTCTTAGGTTCTTAATATGGGGCTCCATCCTATAAATCTTCATACATCTCTTAGGTTCTTCTAATGAGTCTTAGGTTCTTCTAATGAGTGTGCATTTGCTTTGAAATAGGATTATCCCTTTCCTATTTTGTTTTTTCTTCAACCTCAGGAAATATTTCCACGAGCCAAGGTCTTTTCGTTTGAGTTATGAAGGAATACTTTAAGACCCAAAGTTTCAGGTGCATTATTGCATGCGATAACAATATAAAGAACTAAGAAAATAGCTATTTTTGAACGTTTGTAAATGATAGAACGATCTCATTGTGTTATACCAATCAAAACTGTTCAACGGTACTTTTCAAATTGGGTATCAAGACTGTTTCAGACCATGCAAAGCTTTTCTAAGTCTAGAGACCTTTCCATACTCCCCTTAAGAAAAAAAATTGGAGGTTGCTCCATTTCAAACAACCAAAATTTTAAAATTTAAGCTATTTTGTCTTTAATACTTGGTGCATTAAAGAGCACAACTTTTAGCAATACTACAAAATGGTGCAGATCCAACTCTCAAGTTATGACTTATGACTAAAACCAAGTAAAAAAGAGCATGTTGGTGCACAGAATTTAAAACCACAATTAAATGTTGATGGCATTTAATACTTTAGTCCTGACCCCTAAATAAAAATGCAACTCCTTTTCCATGATTCCAGCCAAGATCTTCATTTTTTCCCTCGGGCATTTTATCTAACCCAAAAGAAATACAATATGAAAACAATGGTTTCCCTAGGAACCAACAAAGAAAAACAGTACAACCTGTATGATTTATGAACTCATGGAAAGTTAGAATTTAGAAAACAGAGTTGAGGTGGTTTCTGTACTGCCATCAGTCACCCAATGAGAGGTTGATTCACGACCTGGGATATGTATGCCTCCTTTTTGGTAAATTGCTTGATTTATGTAGGAGGTGGCCTTACCATCCAACCAATGCTAGGGACAGTCATATGATGCATCGACAACAACAACAACAACAACAACAACCCAGTTAAATCCCACAAGAGTAGGGTCTGGGGAGGGTGTGTGTACGCAGACCTTGCCCCTACTCGAAAGTAGAGAGGCTGTTTCCAAAGAGACCCCCGGCTCAACGTCAAAAGTTGCATTGTTTGACTAACTGCTACTTCATTAATTAAAGAAGCGCAGATAGTTTAGAGATCCATTTTGATTTATTCCATCACACCCCAAAGCCAAAAATGGTGAAATTTTAGCTCCATCGGAGATGATGGAAATTCATATGATGCATCGAGTGAGACAATTAACTTAAGTTACTTAACTGATGTTTATTAGCTGTCGGTGAAAAAGTATTACTCCATACAATAGTTGGTACTTCTCGTTTGAGCATAGCTATGGACAACAAGTTAGGCTTTCCCATGATCCCATCTACTGGACCCATTGGAAACTTCAAATTAACTTTAAATGCAAACACACACTAGAATTTATCTACCAAGTCCCAAGTACGGTTAAAGTCCAAAGCAGTCATTAGTCATTACATCTGCCAAAGAGATGCCACCCATGGGGGTGGGGTGGCAATGCTTTTTTAGGGGTATTGTTATAATTCCTCCGTTTTATTGGATGAAATCTCAATGAATTCCTAGTTTGGATGATAACAAAACACCTCTATGCCGGGAGTCAGTACAAATTATATGCCTCTCCCCCACCCATAGGTAAGGGTGAGCGAGGAAGGATTGGAACCCACAGCACCGTGGTGTGTAGCCACATGCTCTACTCTAACCTTGACTGCTACCGAGAGAGCCACTAAAGATCTATAATGTATGAATGAACCTCTTTGTTTTTCCAGCGGGTGGAAAATAAAGAAGTACACCCTCTGTCATATAATTTACATCCCACTTTGATTTGGCACAAATTATAATGCAAAAGAAGTGCTCTAACTTTCGCAATATGCCCTTTTCTTATTTTGCAACCTAGGAAATCCTTTTTTCTTATACAGCTTGCTGAAATCCCAAAATTAATTTGGAGGGAGGGGAGGGAAGGTGGAGAATAATTGGGTTGGAGTTATATGAATTGTAAAAATTAACCCTGAGTAATTTGCCAAATACGAAAATAGGTAGAAAATTGTAGGATGGCCCAAAAGGGGAAAAATTTAATACAGAGGGAGTTCTAAATTAATTTTTGCATTCGGCTCAATCAGTTTACCTTTTTTTAACCGAAATGCACATATTTTAAACACCAACACCAGCGTTTTACATTCATTTCTTGTACAGCACCAGAAACACTTCAAATCAATAAGAACCAAAACGAGTATAAGGAGTACAAACTAGCTATTCTTCCTCCCTCTCCCAAAAGTATAAGTTTCCACCTGGAATTTAATCCACTTGAACGTTTCCTCTTCCTGAAATTGTTGCCCCTCATGGAAGAGCTTGTTTCTGGCTCTCCAAATGCCATAGCAGACTGCTGCGTAAGCACTAGTCAGCGCTGCCTTTCCTTCTTTTAGCTTATTTCCATAATATTGGTTCTGATCTCTGCTACACTATCACCGTCAATATTGCCTTTTATCCAGTAATTCACCCTCTTGCAAACTGCCTTAGTAGCATGGCATTTGCTGAACAAGTGGTCAAGATCTTCCTGTTATTCACCTTCTTGTATTTTAATTTTATTAAAACATTGCGTCGAGTTTCATTATCATTCAGAGGGGAACGCTGGGTCGTATTTTGTTAAAATACCTCTACCCACCCAGTGGTGGAGGGTTAGGTGTTTTTATTCACTTTCTTTTCTTATATTCCCTCCATGCCTTTTTAATATTCCCACCTTTTTACCAAAACACTGCATTGCGCCTGTGTCATTTGATATATCTCCAAACATTTTCATTTCAGATTTCAGTACTCATATCATGTCTTCCCGATTTTAGAATTCCTATCATATCAACTCTACTTTGCTCATCAAACGGGCCCTAAGCTTGGCAGTAAACGATTCATGTTTTTTTTGTTGCTCCAAAAGCATCCATCTTTTGAATTCCATGTGTTTTCTCCCCATGCAGGTACTTGATCGCCTCGCACACGACCGATTACCAACATCCAATGCTTTTCCTCAACACACTCGCCGTACTAGTCCTAGTGGTCGCAAAGTTCCCCAACATGCACAAGGTTCGAATCTTTGGAATCAACGGAGACCAGTGAGTCGGTTCTTTTGAAACCATTCCAACATACATATGGTTCCCGCCCGTCCGCCCATCCTTTTCGACAACAACAACAAAAAAGGTAATGTATCTCTGTATAGAATGCCAGAGGTTGGGAAGTTCATCAACTTGTGTAGTGATCTTTCTTTCTTTTTTGTGTGTGTGTGCTCAAACCACTTCTTCTCAGGTGTACAGTCAAAAAGCATATGTGTCTGTTAATTAATGATCACAACTGGTTTTCATACACTTTAATTATTTCACCTCTCAGAAAATAATTACTGCGCTTTGTTCAGCCTGTGTGAGACATGCAGTCAAATTTTTCAGTTCTGGGAATCACTTGCATACCTCTGGCAGGCATTTCAGGTGCTGAATTTATTCTCTGGATTGGTCTTTGATTTGTGCCCCTTCTTTTTTTTAGTGGAAAATGGATGGAAATTTTTTTCCTTTGTTTGGATGGATGGTAAATAGTAATAGTGCACAATGCTGTTGGACTCCACAATTTTTTATTTTGAAAAAAAAACCCCACCCACACATTTCCCTCCCTTTTTTCGTCCTTCCGATACCAAAAAAGGATCTTTTGACACTCACCCTCGGTGTCATAATATGACATCGGACCATTTGGCATGAAATGGTTTCTATTTCTCCTATGACTCTATGAGGATGTTCTCTTCAACTTATTCTTATTACTAATTATTTGTTATTGAAATCAGTTCAAATCAGACCAAAAAGAACTTTAAATAGAACTACATTTAAATCATACTAAGATAAAACAAAATTTATTCTCATTATATCAGAATCATTTTGATTAAGTGAAGAGAACAAGTCCTAACTCTAATCCTCTAATCAACCTCCTTGCCCCTTCCTCTATTTCNAAGGAGGGTGGGGGAAGGGTCCACTTCGGGACCCAATTATAGGACTTCAATGTTATAATATGACATTTAAAATCGGAACGGCAAGGGGTGGGGGCAGGGGGTGTTGGGGTGGGGTGGGCAGGTAGGGGCAGAGGGATAGGGTTTAGGTGGAAGTTAGTGGCATAAGGCAATCAATTTTACGAACGGTGCACCGTAGGGGTCTGAGTCATAATATGACCCGAGGTTCAAGAGGTCAAAATAACCATTTTGAAATCGAAATATTACTTTTAGAACTTGCAAATAAGTGGGCCTTTTTTTTTGTAGGAGATAACTTGTTTATGTGAAATGTAATCTTCATATGCCTGTTCACGGATTTAGATCCAAATGTGCAACTCCACAAGTAAAATCCAACAGTATTTTTTTTTCAGACAAATGAATAATTTCAAGCAATAAATTAGAGTAATTTATGTCTTTCCTTCCAGAGAGGCATTGAATCCAAACATAATATCATGTCGTCAATTCTACTTTATCCATCAAAAAAATATTTAAGTCAAATTTTGACATTTTTGTTTGTCAGTTTTCATTTATAATGTGATGAGATAATTTGATTTAATTTTTAAATTGATTGAACTAAGAATATTTTGAGTGAGATGTTTTACCTTTCTAGGATGGACTGATGGAGGGATGTAGAAAATATTTATTTTTTGATTATTTAATGTATAGAGCATACTCTCTTCTTAAGATTTACGGAGTATATAATTAAAATTTATATCAAATAATATATCAAATAAAGGATGACATAATTGTGTTATTTTAACAAATGATTAATAAAAATAAGCAAAAAATAAAGAGAATTTAACTCATAAAGAATACTCCCTTTGTTGTAAGCCAAAAGGTATAAGTTATTATTTAGATTTATCGGTATTTTTTGTTTCTTTATGTATTTTTATTATCATTTTCTCATTTCATGTCTTGTTTTATAGAACTTTTGACGTGGTTTTTAATTCGCAGTCACTAAAATTCTCATCTGAACACTTCAACAAATAATTTTTTCTTCTTCCTCGACGGAGACACCACTCTTTTCGGATCTACCGAATAATCAATCGAGTAAAGAAACGTCATTCTTTTGAAACCTTCACCGAATTCAAACAAACATGACGAACGCCGCTCTTTTCGAACATCTTAAATGCCAAAAGAATTGCCCACCCATTACGAAATTGTCCGCTTCCTACGGGACAATCCTTGTCGGACATTTTCTTCTCGATCACTGACTGCCTCAGCAGTCTCATGTTCTTTGCCAAGGAGGAAAAATCATCTTCCATACCGAATTTATGGACAGTGTACACTGACAGCTGTCTTTAGCGTACTTTCGAAGGTTGCCATGGCGGTCGAGGCTGACGTAGATGGCGCTATGCCGGTCAAACCCAGCAAATAGAGACGCTTTTAAATTATTCAGGGAGAAAAATAAAAGATCACGATATCCCGCCGGTAGACATTAAAGTGTGTATATCCACCGCCAGGAGAGTGGAAGTGTGTTTGAGATCTCAAAAACCAAAAACTTGTTTTGATACCATGTAGAAGATTATAAAAGAAAAATAATTTTGTATTGAATTGCCTTAAAGTTTACAATGATTTAACCCTCTTTTTATAGGAAGAGGGTAAAGAAAATAAACAAACTTATATTCCCATCACAATTCTATTCCATTATAAGTCTATAACAAGAATTGGAAAAACTAAGAAAGTTATCAAACCAAATCCCAAAGGAATTTGATTTCCCCTCCCCCTCTCTCTCTCTCGTAACAGTTATCAATATAAACTAACTTGAAACTTGTAAGAGAATCAAATAAAAATACACGAAGTGGTGGGTTTTAACATTTTAAGCACTGTATAGAGTATTTATGTAGCACATCTTCTTCTTGTTTTAGGAAACATTATTTACAATAATTTCAATTTTACATATTCTTTCAAAAAATAAGAAAAATATTAATACACTATATAGTGCGTAAAACATTAGAACTCACCACTTCTTATATTTCTATTTTATTTCTTACCATTTTGACTTTGAATTCTATTCACTATCTTACTTATTTCATTAATTTCGTATGGTTTTAGTTAATTTTCTCACTTTTGTTATTTTTTATATCTATTTTTCTTTAATTACTTCTAAGTTAAGATCAATCTTTAAAAAAAGAAAAAGAAATGGAGGGAGAAAGTGACTTTAAAATTTTAAAAGAAAAATCTCAAAAAAAATTAAAAAACAAAAAATTTCCTAAAAAGTAATCTTAACTTTTGTTTTATTGCGCAAAACATGCCGTTTTCCTTATCCCGTCGTTAGCAACTTAACAGCCATCTAAAACTCATAAATTTCAATAAAATTTTTACTATCATGCATTACTTAAAGGTGGGATTATTTTTTAAAAAACTGGATGAAGTTACGATTATTCTGAATAATTTTTTCTTTGAATTCTTTTGTCCAATTTGGTCTTTCCATTAATTATTCACATGTTGAAACATTATTTATTTTCTTTAATTATTTTTTTCATTACCATTTCAATGTATAGTATAATCACATATTTCTTTAAAAAAATTTAATTTTACACATAAATTAAATTAAAAATAAAACCAATAAAATTAAGATACATAGGGTGTACAATTTAAGATATAATTTCTGGGGTACAACTACATTATTTCATCTAAATTTGGGTCAAAAGCCTTACATAGGAGAGGATAAAATTTGTCATCAAACGCATGGATTGGCGTGTAAAGACGTAGTGGGACCCAGCAGGACCGAATCTAACGGACGTGGATGACAGCTCACTACCACCCCAGCCTCACCACTACTCCAACTGTGCAAGTCTTAAATCCTAAGGAATTGGTGGGACCCGCATGAATAGCTCAACTGGTCCAAGGAGAAAATGAAAAGCACGTTGATTCTAAAATCGAATTTTGGCTACAACAACATGAGAATTCTATTATTTGCAATAGCTTCTTGTGCGCATCAGACGCGAGGCGATCTTTCTAAGAACCAGATTGAGATTATATCATGATTTACCCCCTCACAATCTTGTCAGACTAAGGTGTGGAGATGTCTGGGTTGGGCATTCCATCTTTTTTTTGAACATAAAGCACAACTTTCATTACTAAAAAATTTCCCATAAGTTGTTTACACATCCATTCTCTATATTATGTTCATATACATGAAAAACTAATAATATAAAAATTAACAGAATCTTCTGCATCTCCCACCGCACCCATATTTTGATGCAAAACTTTGTTTCTAGCTCTCCAAACGTTGTACACACATGTCGCCCATATAGCCAGAATGACCACCTTAAATCCTTAAGAATTGGTGGGGGTTGCTTTACTAGTAAGATAAGAGGTGTAACGATGATAAGTCTCGAGTTTGATTTTTGGTAATTATATTGCGATATACTTCATTTTAAATATAAGGTTCTATAAGTAAGGGGTGCAAGCTTCATTTTTTGCAATTAATCTGTGATTAAACTTAATTTACCTTCTTTCATATGACTGTCCGATCGGTTCTGTGAGACCCTCATGAATGAGATTTATTTTTTATTTTTTAATTTCGAATAAGGCTGGTGAAGGGCAATCACCCATGGAGTTCTTGCACCTGCTAAAGATGAATTCTTACTCTTACCTGTCAAAAATAGGGTTAACCTTTTTTTTTTGAAAACCACCTTTTTTAAATCTATAGGAACCCTATTCTACACTCTTCACTTTCTTGTTCACCACATAAATCCTAGCCCTACTTTTTTTTTGTGATTTCTTTAAAGAATTCTCTAATACTACTCCATCCGTTTCAAAATGTAAGCAATTATTATTATTTCGGTGTCTTGATAATTTTTATTTGTTTAAATCAACTTATTTGACCATATGATAAAATAAAATATTCTTGTCGCACCTTGTTTTGTAGAACTTTTAATCTTTTTTAAAGAGAATAATTTGTCACATTTTCACGGAAAAAAAAAATTATGAGCTAGGGAGTACTTGTTCATTTTATTTATCTTAAGGATAATAAATGAATATAATATTCTTTTAAATGTCCATAAAATAAAAGTATAAAGATTTTTACGAAATGAAGATAATATATCTTGTACTCCCTCTATCCAATTTAAATAGCATATATTGGCTTGTGATGTTTGACTGAAATTATTTTCAAATCATTTTATATGAAAACGATGTAGAATTCAAAAAATAAATTTACATGCATAAAAACAATATCAAAAGATCTACAAAACTATTGGTGATATGACTATACTCTGTATTATTTTATCAAATGACTAACAAAAATAAAGAAATAAAGTAAATAAAGTTCGATCATGTGAATAATAAATAAGCAATTTAATTTGGGACAGAGGAAGTAGAAAATTATATATTTTTTAATCTTCACCCTTATCAAACAATATTTTTTAAATTTTTTTACAATAATACTAAAATAAGTCGAGTCAAAATTTAAATTTACTTTATTTGACACTCACCTCTAAACCACTTAAACTATCTTCTCCGTACCAAAAAGAATGCCACAACAATTATTTCAGCTATTCGATAATTTAATTTATTTACTCGTTTTGGTTGATCAATTGATAAAATAAAATATTCTTATTCATCTTGTTTTGAAAAATTTTTATATATTTTTAAATAGTGTAATTTTATATTTTATTTCCAAAATTTTGGAACAAAGTGAGTATTAATTAGTCCGATGGAGTAGTAGTAGTTGGAAAGAAGGAAGGAGTTAGTTAATTAAATGGGCAACTGGACAAGTGATTCGGTCGGTCAACTTGGGTCGGGCGAATCAATTCAAACCACGTGAAAGACAGCAATACACTAATACTATAGCCTTCCCTCTGTCACTCACTCAAAATTCCAAATCCTTTGCCGCCTGAATGTTGCCGTGGCCCCCACTTAATTCCCTCCCTCTTCCCAATGGGATTTTCGTGGCTTTTTCCTTCCCATTTTTTCAAATCCCACCCACGTTCTTGTGTATTCCCATTTTTTGTTTTGAATTCGTTAGGGTCCGTTTGGTACAAGGAATTGATGGAATTGGAATTGAATTGTAATTAAAATTTCATAGGATTCAATTCCATAGAATTGAATTCATCTAATTCCAATTCATTTTTTTGCACTATCAATTCCAAATTCACATAATTTTTGTGTTACCAAACATGATAATTGGAATTGAAGTCCTCAATTCCAATTCCATAGTTTGAATTCCGTGTACCAAACGGAGCCTTATAGTATTTTTTCCGGAACATGTAATTCAAGTGATCAATAAAATGTCTCAAAACGTATACCACAAGCCTCTCACATAACTGAAGTGAGATGTACGCAAGATAGAGAGGAGCGATCGAGAAGTATAATATTTTTTGTGTGATTTATTATGGAACGCTTATTAGATACATCTACAGTGTTATGCACGTTGTTCCACACTGGAGTGATTGTGAGCAAGGAAATAAAGACGCATTTGCTTGTCGTCTCCTGTCAAAATATTGAGAAGCTGGTTCTAGAACTGGGGCTGCAAACATGTCATTTGAAGGTGTGATTGATGTGAAGCAAGTTCGAACAAGATTCGAGTTAGAAATCTTAGTTTTGAGATTATTGCAGCCTATGAAAAAACATCATCACATGTCATCATTCTCTTTTTCATCTGCATGAGATAGGCCGCTAAAGTGGAATCGTCAATCGATCATGAGTTTGAAATTTGAATGTTGACCAAAGTAGAAAATAATTGCAAATAAGACTGGGTATGATGGAGTCATTCACGACAATATTGCAAAATGGTTGGGTAGTTTATCTTGCAGATTTAGGCCGGCGAATATCGTGGGTATTGAAGTTGGATCCATCGAGAAAGGATTTCAATGAGCTTGGAAGAGAGGGAAAAGATCTTGAGCTCTAAACTGATGTTTGAAAAGTTATCAAGGGATTAATTAGTTTGAGAAAACCCATAAGTGAAGCTATTATATCTATCAAGAGTTGGAAAGAAAGATTTTGAAGTATCAAATTTAGAGCTATCTTTCGTGAACAAAACATGGTGGCAGATCATCTAACTAATATTGGTGATTTTGAAGGCGTTTATTGTAAAATTTTTGAAGTTCCTAATATGGATCTTAAACTTTAGTTGCTCAAGACACGATTGCATTACCAATGCACAAAACACTACCTTTAGTTTACATAGCTACTAACTCAAGGTCTTCCTCTTTCTTGATCCAAAAAAAAGATTAATGGTGACTCTTTCCAATCCAGTAAAACTACCAAAAGATCTCATACAAACTTATTTATTAGTTCCAAGACTTGTCATCCCACCTTGTTTTTAGTTGAGTTTCTATAACTCTACTTGTATTATTTTTTTGACAAACGAATAAGTCTTTGTTGTTTAGATATTACGTGTTTGTGGTAAGCAGAGCTGTAACATCATGTCCATCATCATGTTGCTTTTCCAAGTATTCTATCATCGTGCTCTGAAGACTTTGTGATGTCGCGTGAATATTGAAGTCTTGACCTCCTTAGACATTCGTTGGGCGTTTTTCACTTGGTTTTAAAAAGTCCCAAGCCTTTGTTGATTTGAATTAATGATCAACGCAGTCTATGAGGAGTTTGATCGAGCTGGGACTTTGCGTTGAAGACTCCGGGACCTCCTGGTTGAACACAACTAGGAATGTTCACCATTTATGTTATCATGTTATACCTCTTAAGCTAGACATATGATATACGAGAGAATCTTTGAGGCTAGGGAGATGTGTGAGTTCATTTTCAATTGCTAGAGAAGAAATCACGCCATATTCTTATCCTAGCGTGATAAAATAGCATATAAGATTTACATTGAATTGATAGCTTCATTTGTGACATAAATACAACATGTGCAGCCCATGTTTACGCTTCAATCTAGTCTTTAAGTATGTCACTAATCTAGGCGGGGCTGCAAGCATGTCTTTGGGAAGAAGATCTTGACAAAAGTGTAACTAGCAATGGAGAAAGACTTAAACAATATAAGACATTTTTTGTGATTTGTTGGTGTAATATTTACAAAGGTTTAGTGAATGGTTATTACATGGACGTGAGCCCTGCAGAGTTACATTTTGCTCCAAATTGCATAAGCACTTCTCCAACTATTTATTGCTTTATTTAATTTTCGTTGAACTTGTTTGGTATTGTGAAGATATTGTAACACTGTCAACTCAACATCATCGTGATACAACGTTTGCTTCAATCAATCGATTTGCTTGCGCTATTTTATTTGCTTATCCTCACGACCCATGAAATATTTTATATTTTAGTTGATGCACTTGGGAGAACGAAGGCAAATAAGCTTTGGGACAAAAGAAACTTATTAAGCGAGTCAAAAACAACCATTAACAAATTATTTTGGGACAGAAAGAGTATCAAATTAAAACCTTCCTCAAGCTTAAATATGAGGCAAGAAGATACAAATGCAGAGTGGCATAGAACAAGAATAAATTATTACATAAAGATGTCAAAAACTTGGAGAACTCAATGCAAAAACTTGAAGAAGAAAGATAAGCCTTAAAAGATCAACCAAAACATGACCCCTTAGCCTTCATTTCATCTTCCAAATCCTTAACAAACATTCTTAATTATTACAACAACAACAACAAAATTTATTCCTTCAAAAAGATTACAAGACCTATTTCATTAGTTATTCTTTAAATTTGGTTTTTTCTTTTTCCCTATTTAACCAAAAAAAGAAGCCTTCATTCTTCAAAATCGCCATTCATATCTTTTTTACTGCAGTAAAAAAAATTAATCTCAGTAAGTCCATTCTTGTGGTAGCAGCAGCTCCTGGCTTACTGTGCTAGCAGAAGTTTTTGGCCTCTCTTGCAGCCAAACTCTCTCATTGTTCCTTTGGATTTTCACCCCTGTCCCAACTGATATGGTAGAAAAGATAAAAATCAGTATAATAATAATATAAAATATTGTAAATTCATGGGAAAATAAATATTATAAATTATTTTTACCATGATGATCATAAGTGAATCTGGGATGGTGAATTTGAGGCTGATGGGGTAAAGATTCGAAATTCAAGTTCAGGGCTTGCACAACTTTCTCAGGCAGTAAAACTGTGGAGCACACTGCATTTTTTTTACCATGTCAAACCCAAATTAAACCCACAGTAAACCATTTCAAACCCCAAAGTAAACTTTAAAAAGCTGATAGTAGTAAAATTACTTTAATACCCCACAAATTACTTTGGTAAAAATCATACTTTCTTCATTTCATTTTAAACAAATGAATGTGTCATTATCTTTTTTTCCAAATGGTTTATAAGCAAATTAGACATTTCATAGTACAGCTCATTTAATGCCTTTGGTCAATAAGACAATGTAGAATTTGATGGAAAAAAAAGCTGTCCATTATATGCTGTCAAATTGCACCTAAAATTTGCCCATTTTGGCAAGTTGAATTGCATTCCTTCAAAAAGGATTGAAACTTACAAAATTCAAAACAAAAATACTAAGAGGGTGCCCCCACGGATGAAATTTATACATACACAGACGACAATGGTATGTAAAAAGATATACAAAATCATCTATAATTGTCATTTGTGGGGGCAACCGTGGTGTCTTTCTAACATGACCAAATAATACTCTAAGGTGTTGTAGTAATTGTCGCGGAGTAATTAATATTCCAACTATACTAGGTGTACACTAATACGGTGTTCACTTGGTGTACACCATGCTTTACACTGGCACAAATTGATACAAATTGGCATTGTGAGAGCATCTCCAACCATGTTTACTATATTGATTTGCTAATTTTATATTTTAGCAAGTGAATAGTGATATAACAAACAATTTTTTGTTTCAATTTCCAACCATAAGTTGCTAATCCATTTTACAACTCTTAGCTTGCTATATTTTGGAAAACTTGTTATATTTAGCAAGTCAACCTTATTCTTTAGCAAGCTTGCTATAATATAACACAACCATTGGAGATGAAAAAAATGATTGGCTTGCTATATCATAGTTTTTAGCAAGCCAAAATGGAGTGATTGGAGATGCTCTGACACCGGTTATAAAAACTATTTTTTAAAGCAAGTTAGATTATAAGAAAACATTTTAAAAAAAGACAGAATACAAATAAACTCAATGTCATAATATGACATTAAAACATCAATATAAGCATGGTACTCCGTATTATTTATAATGGGACAAAAATAAAAGGAAAAAGTGATATTACTAAAGTATTTTGGGACAGGATTAACAAACCTGACTTTTTGCGGGAATCGGCGGCTGCGCCGCCTGTTCTGGGGAGGAAAACGCCGGTTCCGGCACTCTCCCTCTTAGTGCCGCCGGGATTGCCGATAAACACCGCCCTCATGCCAGAACCACGGCGGGGCTGATGCACAGACTGCTGCAGGGATGGCCAAGAGGACATGTTGGGCCTCGGACTGTTCATCGCCGGAATCGAACCCGCCCTTCCGTTTCCACTCTGATTCCCCATTTGCTCCGGCGTCAATCTCTGAAACTGCGACGATCAAAGAATTGAAGAATGGTTAGAAGATATTAAAACCAAATTCTCCATTGATTTTTGAATTCACAGAGCTTTACTTGAGCCAATTTTGTGTAATCTTGAAAGCTGGGGAGGTGGGGAGGCTGGTAGAAGGAGGAGCCCATGAGACCAGGATTTGCCGTCGCCGGGTTGTAATATTCCGGCGCATTACCGGCGACCGGACTGGGTTTTCTCGGAGGAGCCCAAATTTCGTTTTCAATGGGATAAATCCCGCCGAAAGCCGCAGCTGCGGCGGATTCTTCCATCATCTTCATCCTGGCGACATCTCCGGCTGCAGCGCGAAGCAGGTCCCAAGCGCCGCCGTCTTCCTTACCGGTCATGTCCGGCGCCGGCGGCGGGGAGGAGGCACGGGAGGAACAGTTGGTGCTTCCCCGGCTGGGAATTTGGTTCCCCCACAGCGTGGATTGCGGCGAACGGGACAAACCCAAATCCTGAAAAATAAAATTCCCAAATCGGAAATTCCACTTAAAACCCCCAAAAAAGGAACAAAAATCAAAAAATCAAAACATGAAAATGGCGAATCTGAATACTTTGGTGGCGTCGTCTTCAAGAGTGGCGTACGCCATTTTCCGGGTCAACCCGAAAATGTACTCTTCCTCGTCGCTCTCTGTCTCGGGTGGGGACTCAACGGGCGAGCCCAGATCCGACCCGAACAGACACCGTGGACGGAACCGGAGACCCGTATTTCTTCCGGCATTCTCTTCCCCGATACCGTTCTTGAAGTCGTCGTCGGCGAGGAACTGCGGCGGGAGCCAGAACTCGCAATCGTCGTCAAACTCGTCCGCCACGGGAGAAGCCATCAAAAGGGTGTCTGCAAAACCACGGGAATCCCCCCTTTTTCAATTCAATTTCAAGTCCTAGACCCCGAGAAGCAGAGGTTGCGGCTGGTTCTCTAATGGCGGTTGCCGCCAAAACTGAAAAACAGGGGTCTGGTTCGATTGATTCCGATTCCGAAATTGGGTCGAATGGGGAAGAAGAGAATAGAGAGGAGAGTGAGGCGGGAGAGTATATATAATGAGAATGAGAAAAGGAAAAAGGTGGAGTGAGGGACAGCAATGGAGGCGGGAGCGGAGGCGTGTGGAAACCCTAGACGGCGGGTTTTATTATCAGTTGACTAGCTGCACTCGTTACGCAAACGGAGTGATTTTTATTATTATTATTATTATTATTATTATTATTATTATTATTATTATTATTATCATCATCATCATTATTATTATTTTTATTATTATTATTATTAATACTTTCATCATTTAATTTCTTTCTCATTTTCCTTTTTAGGTTGTCAAAAGTTTCTTTCACATTTCCTATTTTAGCAAATACGGAGTACCTTTTAATAAGTGTGTCGTTATGTCCTTACTTTTTTTTACGCTATTTACTTTATTTCCTCACATTAAGAGTAACACATGAAAATTATTTATACTTTTTAGCTTTTCTTAATCTCCATTACGAATCAAGGCAAAAAAGAATTTTTTGGACGAAAAGAGTATTATTATTATTACTACAACTTCATTCTAAAATTAATTTTTCATTTCAGTTTATCCTAGTTTTATTCAATTTAATTTATTTAATTACAAATTTAAAATTTAAAAATAAAATTTTATATTTTAAAATAACATCAATATTTTTAGAGATTATAAATAACATGGCTACATGATTAGTGAAAATCTCTGTTAGCTTATTCGCGTATAATACGCGTATTATACACCCGTACGTATGATACACGTATTATATTCCCGAATACGAATTTTCAATGGGACGAACGTATAATACACGTATTTTTGACCCCAAACGTATTTACGAATTTTATACGTATTATATTGCAAAATCTTTGGGGTCAAATTCAGATGAGATCAAATAAATTGGTTGTGTTTCTGCAAAAATACAAATCTTTAAAATTTGGCGACTCAATTATTATAAAAGTATTAAAATTCAGATCGTAGTTCAAGTCATCTTCCAATATCCTTTGTTAATAAAATGTCACCCACACCCTACCAGTCTCTTCGACTTCGTCCGACTGAAAGTCCAACATTGCATCTGCACTAGCGAATAGTAGACAACAACATTTTTCTCTATTTGTTTAGATTTTGAAAATGTGGTCAATTTTTTGTATTTAGTCCTTAAAGCCTCATTTGGTACACGGAATTCAAACTATGGAATTGAAATTGAAGACTTCAATTCCAATTCTGGTGTTTGGTAGCACAAAAATTATGTGGATTTGGAATTGGTAGTGTAAAAAATGAATTGGAATTGGTGAATTCAATTCTATGGAATTGAATCCCTATGGAATTTTAATTCCAATTCAATTCCAATTCTATCAATTCCGTGTACCAAACGGACCCTAAGATTAAATATTCCGTGTCCACAATCTAAGTTCGTAACTATATATTTGTATTCTAAAAATAAAAAATATAGACTAAATTTAATTTTACTCAACTTTTAAATTGTGTAAAGCATTATTTAGTAAGTTCATATTTAAATTATAAAGAGACTTAAATCTTCCTTTTAAATTCATGATAAACATTTAATCAATTTTGTAAAACATAAATTGTCTAATAATATAAATTTTTCATGTCTTAAATAATGTTGGCTTCATTTTTCAGAATGTGTTCTTACTTTGAATACATTTTGTGAAAGTACACAATAATAATTAGATTGAAAGATCTTCTTTGGGTACACATATATGGAAAAAATGAATAAACAATAAATCGTAGTGTTGGTTAAATTTTTAGAACTTTATGATGTATTTGTATTCAATTTCAAAGTTTAAAATGTGTTTCTTATTAAAAATATATGCATTCATTATAAGCCGTATTTTTGAAATATCAAACGTATAATACGCGAATGTATCCGTATACGTACTCCGAACGTATAAAATGTATAATAAGACGTATTTTAAAAAAGTAGTCCGTATTATACACGAACGTACGAACAGACGTATTATACCCGTATCCGAATAAGCTAACAGAGGTGAAAATAGACAAAAATAAAGGGATAATAGCATGGGTGTCCCCTGTTGTTTACAAATGGAGCGCCAAAACCTCCTCTACTTTCAAAAGTTATTTGTAAAATCCCTGTGATTTTTAAATAGTGCACAGACAGCCCCTCTTGCCTATTTTACACACGAAATGTCATTTCTGCCCTTGGTTTTTCTCTATTTTCAAATTTCACTCTTTTCTTTACATTTTTTGTTATACAAATAAATAAAATAAAATATACGACCTCTTTCTCAAATTAAAATTTTTCATTTATTTAATTTTCAAAAAAATAATTTTTTAAGAAAATGTTACAAAAATGAAATAAAATACACTTTTTCATTAAAAGTAAAACTAAAATAAGTAAAATAAAAAATTGGATAACATATACTCACTCTATCTCTAATTAAAAATTCTAACTTATTTGTTTTTAAAAGTAAAATAATTTTTTAAGGACTTTAAAAAATGAAGAACAGAAAGATGAAACAAAATATGGAGTTAAAGAAAGAGACTATTTTTTATATTTTTATTCTTTTCATTATCTTTTTTAACTATTATTACTTTTTACTTTGTACATAATATTTGTTTTTAAAACATTCTCGAAAAAAATCTTTTGTTTTCAAAAGTCCATTATGAAAAATTCTAATTTGAGATGGGAAGCATATATTTTATTTTATAATCCCTCCGTCCCCTAGTTTTTGTCCACTTTTAACTTTTGGAACTGTTTATCTAAGCATTTTGACTCATCAAATTCTCTCAATGTGTAAGCCTAAATATAGTCATGTGTGATCTTGTTTGATTTGTCTTAACATATAGATTATTAATATATAATTTCTATAATTTTTTAATATACAAATTAAAAGATAAAATGGATTAAAGGAGTGCATTGGATGGTGTGTAAAAATGAAAGTGGACAAATACTCTGGGACGAATGGAGTATATTTGTATAATAAAGGAAATTGAAATTAGTAAAAATCAAGATCGGGGAAAACATAGGGCATAAATGTCATTTTTGCTTTAAAAATAGGTAAGGGGGCATGTGTGCTCTATTTAGAAACCACATTGACTTTACAGATAACTTTTGAAAACAGAGAGAGTTTTGACACCCTTTTTGTAAACCACAGGGGCACCCATGCTATTAACCCCAAAAATAAATAAAAAAAATTTGATTGTGGAAATAGAAACTGATAAGATAATTTTAGAAAGGAGAATATTATTACTCCCTCCGTCCTATATCTTTCTTCCCGTTGTGCAAAACGAAGAAAAATCCCAAGTTTTTTCAATCTATTTTATTTAAATATTGGTATAGAAATAAAAAATAAAACATACATATTTAAAAATGTACATCAAAAGTTCAACAAGACAAGTGGTGACAAGAATATTTTATTTTATCATATAGGCCATGAAAAAATACAAATAAATATAAATTTCTGTGAAGTTGGAATAGTGCTCTGGGAAGAAAGTTTTAGGAGGGAGGGAGTATTAGATTTGAAATTTTTCGGCTACAAATAAATGCTAAATTTGCTGTCACAAATTGGGGTTTTAATAAGCCGGCATTAATTAAGGAAATACGAGTGGTTCTAACTTGTAACTTGTGAAATTAAAATTGTACCGGAGAAATTGTTTTAGTAATCGTCGAGTGTGGTCTGTAAATTACTGAATAATCGGAGTAATGGGCATTTAATTTTCAAAACAAAACAAAATGTACGCCCTAACTTCAAATCGAAGCTTTAAAATTTCTCAACGGATGGTTGCTATGTAGTCTCATTGTTATACTAGCTAGGGCACTCGAAATACCCATGCCCTAGACTTCAAATCGGAGCTTTAAAATTTCTCTTTTTGTCACCTCAGCTTTAACAGATTAAGTGGAAATGGGTTTGAAGCTCCATGGCTTCAAACAGAAGCTTCAAACCTTCATTTTTTATATTTTTAAATATAGATCTTCTAAATTTAAATTAATAAATTTTAATTAATTTATTATTTAAAATAATCGAAAGGAGACTAGTGCATTAAAAAATTTACATTCATTTGAAAAAATATTACATTCATAATAAAATACATTCATTAAAAAATATTATATCCATAAAAAAACAACATTACAAAGAAATTACTAATTATTCAAGCGACTGAAAATATGTTCGATGAAATCCACCGTTAGTGAATTGTGAATCTCTCGGCTTCGAATATCTTGGCAATTTCTTCATTTCTTTTCTTCGTCAATTTCTTCGTACATAGGCACTTCCTCGTCCGAGTTGTATTGACAAATCGCAAACCTGTTGTTCTCTACGATCATATTATGAAGAATAATACATGCGTACATAATATTCCTCATTTTTGTTTGAGAAAAACATTTCGACGGACTGATACGTATAGTTAATTATAATATTTTAGTTGGTTATATTATTATTTAGTAGTTATTTATTACTCCGTATTATTTATTGATGGTTTAGGGTTTTAGTATGGGCCCGGGTCCATTAGGTCAATTAGGTTATCTCCATTCTTTGTATCTTGTAATCCTTCGTTATTATAATAAATTCAAACAATGAATAATCAGGAATTCTCTTAATCTTTCGTTTCTCTTTTCGTGGAGCTCGGAAACGCTCGAAGTTTTCCATTTGAAGCTTGAAGACGCTCGAAGTTCTTCTCTATCCATTTACGTTTTTTTCGTATCACGGACGATCTAGAATGTGCACTTATAGACACTACTAAACCCGCGTCGGCCTCTTGCATCAAAGTGTTGGGTGAACCAAGGCACCTCGCGTTCAACATCGGCGAGTATGCGTAAAAAGATAGAACGACTCATCTGAAAACGATTACTAAAATCTTCTTGTGTAAAAACACATGGAGTATTAAAGTAGTCGTTGAGAAGTGAAATGTGGCCAGCCGCTCGATCTTGGTTTAAACGTTGTCATCGGGTCTGGGTCCGGGTCCGGCGTCGGGAGGATTCGGCTTCTTCTTTTTCGCCTTGTTCCCACCATTGAACACAACTGGTGGCGAAATAACGAAAAATGAGAGCTCTTTTTCATCATCGGATGAAGATGATCTCATTTTTAAAATATATTTTATAAATATTTATAATAAATAATCAAATATTTGAAAGATTGATAGAATTGTA